ACCAGATGAGTCACAAAGCAGGGACTTGGATTCAGACATGAACAAAAATTACCTGAAGCTTAGATATAAGGCCAAGAGCATGAAACTGTCCCTTTGCTGCCATGCTGGGGTGCCCTCCCCCCAGGGATTAATAATCTAGGGGAATGTACCTTTGCTTGATCCTGCTGTTAACTAGAAAGAAGCTTAGACTTTCTGAAGGTGCATGTTAACTTGTAAATCTTGTCAGATAGACACGCAAAGAATTCCTGTTTAGTAGAAAAGAGAACACTGAAGGTTATCTTTCCCATAGGACAACAACTAGTTTCCCACTGAATCTAGTCATTTCATCCTAACATTTTGCTTTTTAAGTACCTGTACACGTCAATTCTTCAAAATGCTCCTTGTACAAGATCTGTCATCTTACCGCTTCTCTCACCAATGAGTTAATAAATCTCTGACCTATCTTCACCCTATGCTCACCTGAAAACACGTTTTCAACTTGCTTAAAACTCTATTTCTTGCTATGTATATAATCTAGTGTTTCTTCCTCCAAAATAGCACCTGTACGGCATTGCATGCATGCACCTCGTCGAATGTGCCTCATCCAACCTCCCAAATAGAGTAACTCCACATAAGCCATGCAGACAGCTGGCTAGGTGCTGGGGATGGAAGGGCGGCTTCCTCCCAACTGACCTGGCATTCCCACTATTTCAGTTCTTTGGATTCATCATGTCGGCCTCAAAAGACTGCTCTTGGCACACGAGATGGCCAGCCCATCAGCTAGCAAGCGAGGGACTCTGGATCAGTTTCCTGGTGCTTCTGATGGGCTGGGCTGCTGGTCTGAGCTGGCTTCCCAGGAATGATCCGCACTTCCTCATCCAGGTTTGCAAATGACACACACAGGGGCAGACGCGAGGTGACTGAAATGCCGAGGGGAGTAGGCTCAGAGCCCGCCTGGGACATTTTCTTTCTGGGTGAAACTTACTGATCCTTTAAGAGAGCAAACCCCTGACTTAGACTTCATTAGCACCGCATGCAGCTCACAAAATTAACCACTCCCATCTGCCCAAAGGAACACAAGGAAGCAAAGAGTTTAATGGATCTAAAGAAGGCCCTCGTTTTACATCTTAACAGGTCACTGACAACTCCTCACACTTTATTGAGAGAACCAACTGAGCCATTAGCAGGTCATTTGGCCTGCTCTCTTTAAAACCCCTCTAAGCTCGGTAAACAACTCTAATAGCTCCAAGAATAGTTGGTGATCTGGGATTTTAGCCTGCCAACGGCCTGCCAACAGATCTGCTGGCTGCAGGTGCTTCCTAGCAGTTAGTGCCTTGCAGGGAGCTTCAAGCTGCAGCTTGGCACATTTTGAAGGACTTTCTTCTCTCTGAACTGCCCCTGGTGTTCCACTTGTGTACCATGTGTTCAGCATCAACCATATATACCAGGGATCCAGCTGTGGCCTGCGCAGGATAGGAAATAAGGAGATTCTGTCCTCAAGGGTCTTCCTATCCAGTGGGAGATATAAGACTCGGATCTAAGTAGCTATCATGTAGGGTAGAGAGTGACCAGTAATTCACAAACATTATGAATTTTTGTACCAGCTATGTGCCCTGGCTATTCAGTGGAGAGCCTGTCATTACTACAGGTTCAGGAAGCATTTGGTGAAGGAGGGAAGGTAATAATTGCTCAGCACTTACTGTGGACCAGGCTGTGTGTCAGTCATTTTCTCACTTAATTTGCTTTTTCACAAGTGCTCTCTTTGATAGGTGATGTTATCTCCATTTTTAACAAATAAGAATGGAGGGGCTCAGCGATGTTAGGTGACTTTCCCAAGATCACTCAGATGGTGAATAGCGAAGATAGGTATTGAACACAGAACCATCTGACTTAAAAGATCCTGCTCTTTCAACCTCACCACATTTGCTGTTAGCATTTTAGGGCACACCTTCCTTCTGTGCTGTCATGACTGATTTGTTTCCAAATTGAGGAACTTTGTAGGATACAGGTTGGCAATAAGGCATGCCCTGCAACTTTAAGATATGGATTCACAAAGCCATCTGCACTCTCGACAGTGTATGATTAATGCTTGGATCTATCCCTTGGTATTCCCTAGCGTCATCTGTGCGATCTGCTTATCTGCCTTCCAGTAAAATGGGAGACTAACAGGGCAGAGAAGAGAGAAGAACAGTGATTTCCAGGGACAGAGGTACAAGCTCCTTTAGGATCCTTCCACCAGGGCTGTCCAAATACACAGAACAGACAGCCACTACCCAGCAAAGCTGAAAGCCAGCAAGATTTCCACCTGAAAAATGCCATCCTCCCTCCTCCCACCATTTTGCCTTGGTACAGGAAATTATTTCAATTCCTTCTCTTTTACTTTCTTTTTTTTTTTTAAGAGTTTATTTATTTATTCATGAGAGACACTGAGAGAAAGGCAGAGACACAGGCAGAGGGAGAAGCAGGCTCCCCACTGAGCAGGGAGCCCCATGAAGGATTCATACCTGGTCCTGGGGGTCATGCCATCAGCCAAAGGCAGATGCTCAACCACTGAGCCACTGAGCCACCCAGGTGCCCTTCTCTTTTACTTTCTTCAGGAAAAAGAATTGGGGACTTTCACAGCTTAACAAAGCCTTCAGAAAAAAATCAAAATTAGTGAGTCAGGGCAGCCAGACCCTGCATGCTCACCTATTCCTGCCCACATCCCCCAGTAAACCCTGAGTGACTCACAGCCATGAAGCTCCAGCAGAGAGTGTGTTTGTGTGTGTGTGTGTGTGTGTGGCACATGCACACACAAGCAGCAGTGCCCCTGCACATTCCCACCCCCACCGGCGCACACGCACTTGCACACACACACAGTAATACAGTGATGTCCCTACTGTGTGCCCCCACACCCCTCCACGCTGCCTCGGCATAGTGTTTGCTACATGTCACGGTGCCCAGGCTCTGCCCATGAGGCTCTGTTCATGGAGTCCCCGCACTCCATGACAGGAGGAATCACATCTGGTGTTTCTACTCCCAACACTGAGTGTGCTCCAGGAACTCAATAAAGCCTTGAGTTAGGGAAGGACAGACTGAAGAGAAGACTGCCCAGAGCCTCCTCCCACAGCCCAGCCTCACTGGGCCTGCAACTCCCCTGGGCCTGGTGTAAGTTCCGGCTGTCAAAGCTGCCAAGGGAGAGAAGAGTGAAGCTGAAGGGAGAGCAGGCCAGAGGGAAAGGCCCCAGAGCTCCTATGACAAAGGTCAGAGCCATTGCTCAGGAATATCCACAGTGCCCAAAGGGCCGTGAGGATGACTCGGCATCTGCAGCTCGCTCCACAGATGGCCCTGGGCCTGTAGGTCGTGGGAGGCTCCAGGAGGGTCTCCAGAACAGCTGCCCCTGACCTGTGTGTACTGGGCTCACCAGAGGCCGGAAATTCCATGTTGTAATGGTTGGATTTTTTCCCTTCATTCCTGATCCATGACTAGGTAGTGAATTGGTCATTAAAGAAACCATTTAGGCAGATTTCAGGAACATCTGACTGGGTTCTGAGCATGTAGGAAGAGGAAAATAAAACAAGACAAAGCTCTGGACCACACAGTCTCACCTTCATTTCCATTGCTTGCCTGACATGTGAAAGGAAACAAAAATGTTTGGATGCCCCTCTTCTGTCAGCATTGTCACCAGCGTTGCACGGAGCTGGGTTCACCACTTAAAAACACACATTTGGAAGCTCCTCTGAGTGGCCGCAGCCATGTTATCAGGCTGAACACATGTTGATCTGGGTAGATTAGAAAAATCGTTCCTGGTGTCTAGGGAGACAGCACTTCTAAACAAGTGTTTTTCAGAGAATGAGCCATTGAGATGTACTTAACATACATGTAGCCCAGGGTCCTGGAAACAAAAGTCAAATCAGTACCAAATCAGCGAGGCTCAGCAACAGGCTGAAGAATGGGGCGGGCAGTGGGCATGTGTGAGAGAGGCCGTGATAAAGGTAACTGTGCAGTGGATCTTTCTTTCCTGCACAGCCAACAGTTGGAAGAACCAAAATTATCTTTACGCTGCACTTGCACATTTTTTGATCAAGTAGGGGGGGGAAAATCACATTCTCCCTCACATTTTACTTCCTTTTTCTAAAAAGAGATTAAATGGAGCTTGGGGGGAGGGGATTTAAATTCGCTCTCTCCATCCACCGTGAGATTGTATTACTTTTGCATTCCTGGTGTTCGATCTCAGTTTAGTTTCAAGTTGAGACTTTATTTCATCCCCAGACATGTACAGAGTGGCTGGTATCCCTCTATTACTTCTCCCTTATGGACACAATTACTTGCAAGGCAGGAAGCCAGCTGGGTAAATCAGACTGTCTACTTTTCCCTCTACGTACACCCTTTAGGTCTGTGCAAGCAAACCCATCCCACATCTCCTCCTGCAACTGACGTTCAGTATTGTAATAAATCAATTAGGCTAAAGCACTAGACTATTTCACTAAAAAAGAAAAACTTTTATAAAATAAATGTTAAGCCCTTCTTGTGTCATTCTTAGTCCTGCCTTATAGACTATAAAATATGTAGGTGGGTTACTATTCTTTGTTTCATGATTTTATTAACATTTCAGAGACAGACCAAAGCCAAGATATTTTGAACAGAGAAGTTGCTCATCCCATTCTGTATCCTGAAAGATGGCCCCAACAAAACAAAAGAAAAAAATAACCAAACCAAGAAAGCTTCCAGCATCCTTTTCTTTTCAATAGCTTGATATCCTAGGGCCTACGCGGGATCAATGAGTAGCCTACAGGGTACCCTCGTGGCACCGATAATATTCATCTCAGTTGAGAAATTTTGACTTGGCTGAGCCCATCTGCTCTCACTTCAGGCTAAGGTTGCCTTGCATTTGGAAATCGCACTGTCAGCTTGGTTTAGAATGTTACATGGGTGAGGCATATGCTTGTCCTGACTGCCCAGGAAGATGTTGGCATGGAGAAATGTGAAGCCTCCTGACTGAAGCTGGCATTTATAAACTCTCCTCTTGTCTTCTCTTCTAGTTACTGTGACAGTGGGAGGCAAGCAACACCTGCTTGGACTGTATGACACTGCAGGACAGGTACCTTTTTGCTATTTTGCTTCATTGAGGGTTTGGGGGGTGGGGAGAATGATCCATTTGGCTAGACACATGGAGACTGAGAGTACAGGTATTATTACCTCTTCTGATCACTCAGGACAAATTTATTGTCTATCTAAATGAGAACAAAGGCATATTCTTAATATCTTAATAACACGGATAATTACAAAAACTAAATCATTATGTTACTCAAGGTGTTGGTAGGCAAATACTCATTCATTCATTGATGGATGACCATCAATAACTAAATAATGAATTTGGCCAAGAGTCTCAAGTTCTTCCTAACCACACCAATTCCAGATTGGGATTAATGAGTCAATTTTATGAATTTTAGTTTCACCCATTTTTTTCACATTATATTCTTTGCCCAGCCTTTATTTGAATTGGCTAATGAGCCATGGAAAAGTCCAAAAAGAGACGGAGAATGAGCGGGGGTAGGGTAGGGAGATGGATGAAGTGTTGGGAAGAAGAAAAGCCAGGATCTTTTGGTTTTGGAATGGTTTCCAAAAGTGAGGGTCGACCCCTGAATAACTGGAAGTTGACTCTAAATTCTCTAAGATTCTTGAAATATTCTCATTCTGTCAGAGATGTGTCTTCAAGTTGGAGAATGTGGCCAACCAATAATGGAGGGCTGTAGATTAGAATGAACCCTCAATATTTATTCAGTTAGCACATGCCTTACTTGGATGAAAATGCCACCTCATCTTTCTTTCCTTGCACCCCACACTCCACTATGAAAAGTTTCTAGTGTTACAAAATTCATGGGTTAAGCAATTGATGGCTGTGGCCCAGTTTCTTTGATAGAGCTTTTGTTACCATTGGGTCATTTATTTAGGCCAAAATCAGCGGGTTGTTCAGTCTGTCCAAACTCATACATCTTAAGTCCTTTGGAGTGAACACTGACCATGCTCTTTCCCACTGTGAGCTTCCTGGTAATTGTTCTTTGTAGTCATGCATTTGTCTGGGCCTTTTTTTTTTTTTTCCACAATTATCTGGAGATACGTCTTTTTGCTCAACTTGAAAATTCTGTACTAAGAAAAATAATAATAAATGGCATTCTTTGGGGGATTTCTGCGTGCATCTGCAAGGACCACGTATAAATGTCTGTGGGACACCAGAGGCTGATGTTGGGCAGGCCAGGACAGTGGGGAACCTGGAAAATCTTACACCAGACTCAAGACTCCTAAGAGTTAGTCAGTTACCCATCATTTGCAGATGGCTGTTTTAGCCATCTACTCTCAGGAACTGGGGAGTGCAGGAGACTTCTCATATCAATATCAAGACACACAACCAGGAAAGGATGCTCCAAATGCCTAAACTGGAAAACTGGTTTGGCTCCTCTGGGTTAAGGTACAACGGCCTCAGTGTACCTGCTGCTTGACTGTCCCTCCACCAGAAAGCCTGCCGGTGATAAAGGAACACTGCTTTTTGGACCGAATCTGCCTACTTTTCATTCAGTCATCTAGTTATTAGGGTTTGCCATTCATCAGAAACTCATAGCCCGAAAGGGACAGTTTATACCTTTCATCCCCATAGTTAGAGTTTATGAATATAACCTAGTTCAAAAAGTTCAGTACAGCAAAGATTATTGCCTGACTCTGAGTCCTCTCTGTTTCTCTCGCCTTCTGAAAAGCTCCCTGTGCCCCCTCACACCCACCCAGTGCTCCCTTCTTCTGTAGCAATCCATGACAAGTGTTAGCTTCTTCACATTCATTGTCCCCAGAACAACCTCCCAAGCCTCTGTTTAATTTCCAATCCAATGACACTGTTTAAAAGCTCCTGTAGAGTTTAATTATTCTTTCCCACTGCTGTCCTTTTTAGAAAAAATTTTAAATAACAGTAGTATAGGACTTGAAGCTCTAAGGCAGTATAAAAATATCCTCAAACTCCAAATTGAAGAAAATAGAATGATCCAAACCTCTGACACAGAAGAAGCAATGGGCACTGATAAAATATCACAACAAGTGGGTTATAAATATTTCCTCAACTTAATGCTTTCCTCTAATGCTTTCTACCAGCTACTTTGAAAGCTCAAAGGTGGACAAGATTCATTAGGGAGCATGCAGCTTGGGGAAAAGAAATCAGGACACATCTTAAAGTTACTTCTAGGCCTAAAATTCTATGATTAGAACTTTTCACAGACTACTTCAAGAAGGCCTAAAAGACCTAGAGTAATTAAACAAAATGATTTGAGGCTAGACCCAAGGAAGATCTTCCAGCAGCAAAGGATCATTAAATATTGGAGTGAGTTACACTAAAGGGTAACATGTAATTCATTTTGTATAATAGTGGTGGTTCTCAAACTTGAGCAGACATCAGAATCATGTACAGGTCCTTCTAACACCCAGCCCCTGGGCCCACTTCCAGAATTTCTGATTCTATAGGTCTGGAATGAGGCCCAAGAATTTGCATTTCTAACAGGCTTCTTAGTGCTGCTGCCACTAGTCTATATACCATATTTTAGGAAACACTGTTCTGGGGGTGCCTGGGTGGCTCAATCCATTAAGCATCTGGCTCTTGGTCTCAGCTCAGGTCTTGATCTTAGGGTCATGAGTTCAAGCCTGGGGCTGAAAAAAAAAAAGGGAATCACTGTTTTGGAACCTTGCCACTCAAAGTGTGGGGTCCACCAGCAACATCAGCATCACCAGGGAGCTTGCTCGAAATGCAGATTCCCAGGCCCCAGTTCCAGCCGATTGACTCCGAAAATTCATTTTAAGAAGATCCCCTACATGATCCATATGCAGTAAAGTCTTTGGTGGTCAAAGCATGGCTCTAACAGGAAAATACTCCTTACCTGAGTTGATCCCCCTGGTTCTATACCTCTGCCAATAACGCTTTGGGACACATTTAACTTAGAAGTATGATCCCCAAATTTCCAATTCCAGCCTCAGGCAAGATCCTCCACTGTCTCCAGTTATATCCCAGCAAATGTCACTGAGGTCACATGGTTAAGGAACATTCACCTAATTCAAAAATACTCATATGGTCAGAGTTACTAAGAAGAAAGAGAGGTGATCCACCTGATTAATCCCTGAACCACAGAAAAAAGAAAAAAAAAGGTCTCTGAAACCAACTCTAGAATTCTATCTTGCTGTAATTAAATAATTAGATTGTCTCACATGAATAAACCAGGAAGCAGTGTCCCTCATCTTTGTCTTGAGCTAATCATGGGTCAGAGTTAGTGAAAACAACCTCAAGGGGCACATATTCTGCAAAGCAAAGTGATAGGAACTTGGCATTACCACCCTCAAAGTTAGCTCTAGACAAAACGATTTAACCTGGCTCCGTCCACATTGTCATCCCTAGTCTACCTCGGTCACCACTGCGGTCCCCACCAGGCCCACCTGAGGCATGCTCCTGGCCATTCAGAAGCCCGCCAAGCACTTTATAAATGAGGTCACATGTATACACTCCTATCACATGGCAGTTCCTACACAACATGTGCTCCCTCCCCAAATCCCTAAAACAAACAAATATTTGGACTTTGAGTAGAATCCTTTGAAAACAAAGTCTTCAGCACTCTGGTTCATCTGTTAGATAGAATTCCAAACATTAAGTTAGGCAATGAGGGAAGGGATTTTTTCACAAGCTGACTCTGCATATTACCCCTCAGCTCACACCAGAGAGGCAATAAGGCTGGGCCTGTAAGCCAAATCTATTGAGATCGTGCCAGGTTATGCTGTACAGCACATGCCTCTAGTAGTGCATTACTGAAAATTTTTCTGAAAGGGATTTCTAGAGCTCAGATCTTTGGCTCAGCTACAAAGAGTCCCAGAGCCGACTTTTCCATGACATATTTGCAGGCCAGTATGTTTCAAGTGCGTCATTAGAGACCAAGTAGAGAACAGGATGCTGGGGTGGGGATGCTGCAGCAAAGCCTGGGCATCTGCCAACTGAGGAATGCCAAGCTGGGGGACCAGTCAGTCCCTGGTCATGGCTCAGAGCCAGGCATCCTCTCATCCTGCTGCTGGGCACCTAGAATGGAGCCAGCCATAGCACTAAGACATCTTACCTCCTTCTGTCAGTGGGCCCTCCACTACAAGAGCCATGTGGGCAAAACTCTACTCAGACTGTGGCCCCTCAGGCCAAACTCCAGGATAGACATATCTCAAAGGCCATATTTGCAAAAGTGGCAGTTGGCAGCACCACCAGGGAAGAGTGAGAGTCTCCTGGAGTCAGGAGCTGGGTTTCTCAGCAGGGTGAACCCCCCGGATTCTTGGCATACAAGCCCCTCAGGATAGGGGGTTGTCTGTATGTTGGCAAGCATGGAAGGGTGTCTGTCACTGAGAAACCACAGCCCCGAGAATCTCGGTGGTCACCAGTGACCATGGAAGTGTGGGAGTAGAAAGGCCATCAGCCACACTCCTCCCTGAGCCAGGACTACACACTGCATGTCTTCATCTGCTCTGGTTTCTGAAGTGCCTCTGTCCCAAAGAGTTTGAAGAGGCACACGAGGCAAGTATAATTGGGGTTCATTAATGGCAAACCAGGGTCCACTTGGAAGGACATGAACCTTCCCTTTTGCTATTGGCTGACCCAATGGAGCCATCTGGAGCACAGAATCTGGCCTCAATCCTCCATGGAAAGTTTGCCTAACGCCTCAAAACAAATGTTTTTCCTCAATGAGCCACTCAACTTTTCTTGCTCATATGTGCCTTAATGTGGTTTTAGAAGTGTGCAATCCGGAGATTAGAAAGAAGTTTGCTCACATGACAAGTTATCAGTAAAAGTAACCATAGGACACAATCTTACTTCTCAAATTATAAAAGAATATGGGGTTGTAGGGACATTGATTCAGAAGTGCTATTAGAGTATGTAAGCACATGGGTCCTGTTACAATTCAGTTTAGAAAAAGTTAATTTCAGATTCAGCCCTGGTATCCACTGAGGGCAGGGACACTGCAGCTGTTGTTGACAGGATGGACTCTTGACCACTAAAGAACTTAATACATTCAAGACATTGCTCTAAGTGGTCGGCACATACTAATGCATTTCATCCTCAAACAACCCTATGGGGCAAGCACTGTTATAAATCTCATTTTACAGATAAAGAAACTGAGGCAGAGAGAACTTACCTACTATCACACAGTAGTCACAGGCAGTGCTGGGATTTGAACCCAGAGAACATGTCTCCCTAGCCCATGCCTCTTAAGCACTATGCTACACTCCCACCCTCTGGATGTTGCTCACATTTTCCAAACCAAGACTGACAGATATGAGTGTACTTATGGGAGAATTATGAAAATGAGACTTATGCTAAAATCCAAGATAAATGTCACTAAACCCAAGAGGACTTGGAAGCAGAATTCTATTTCCAATTGAATATGCATCAGGGATGGATGGGCTTGGGGAGGAGAGACTCAGTACAACTCTCCTTGTCACTCAGAGTGTGATCCCTGGACCAGAGCATCAGTATCACTGGAAACTTGTTAGAAATAAATTCTCAGGCTTCATCCCAGACCTGCTGCTGAATGAGAAGCTGCACGTTAACAAGACTCAAGGGGCCCTGGAGTCTGTGAAGGACTGGTCAAATCGTTTCTCTTCCTCACTACCTGGACTATCATGCTCTGGCTGTTCCAGACTATACGGAAGGCGTGTGGCCATCCAGTGAGGCTCCCCTGAACTGCTCTTTCCCAAGAGTGGTCCATAGTCATCTGAAAGCGCCAGATCTGTCTGCAAACCAGTGCTCCGCCTTCAGGGTGAAGTTGGTAAAAAGTACTCAAGAGCCTAAAGTCCCAAATCCCTCCCTATTCCCTGAGCCCCTCCCCATCCACCTCAGCCCCCTTGTCCATTTTAGCCCTCCAAAGCCCTACTCGAGTGGCAATTTTAGATTGAGACGCTGTCTCCTCCAGAAACAGTCAAGCACCAGCCTTCCATTTTTTTTAATAAATTAATTTTTATTGGTGTTCAATTTACCAACATACAGAATAACACCCAGTGCTCATTTTTTTAAATAAATTAATTTTTATTGGCAGCCTTCCATTCTCAGTTTCAACATTGTAAGTGGCCTCAAATACCAGCTAAACCACTTCTCCACTTCTCAGAGTTCCTTTACATCCTCTCAACATGTGGTCATCCAACCTAGGCTTAAAATGTGCCCTATTGTGGAAAACTTATCAGCTGGTACAAATTCAAATCCCCCAACCTCCCACCACCCGCCCAGCCCTCAATCTCAAGAGGACACTTCCCTTTTTTAATTCTGAACCCCCTGCCATGTGTCATCGCTGCAGCCTGTGGCTAATGGGGGCCAACAGGAGCCCTGCCAGCCCATGATGTGAGGACTTCTTTAAAGGTGTTTTTGATTCTGATTAGTTCTGATGAAATCACTCAAGCTGTCTAGAGTTGGGCTTCTTCGACTATGAAATCAGCAGAGGGGACAGGGAAGTACAGTAACCTGTAGTTCTGAAATTTGAATTCCAACAAAGTCACCTGACAAAGTCACAAAACAGCTGGTAAAGCCCCTGCCCGGGGCCACAGCCATAGGAGGGCTGGGCAGGGCCTGAGGATGTGCATTCCTTACAAGCTCCCAGGCCAAGGCTGCCAAGCAGCGACCACACCTGGTCTCAAAGGCCTCTTCCCGCTCTGATTTGTGCTCTTCCGATTCAGGTAAATAAATATTCTACATTATTATCACAGAGCTAACCAAGAGCAAGAGAAACTTGGCCTGTCTCACTTGCAAATAAATTGAGTGACTTCTATATTTTCCTTTTCTTTCCCCTAAGGGGAGAATCAACTCTTACTGACCTTATCAGCTTCATATAGCATCTTTAACAGTGCTACATGCACAGGAGAAAATTAATCAAGCTTTTTGACTGGAGTTACACAGCAGAACTAAGGCTTCTACAGAAGAGATATCCAGAATACAGAGCAAGATAAACCCCAGCAAAGGACAAAGTGGAAAGTCACTCAGCTGGAGGGCCTTGGCTACCCTGCCAGGAGTAAAGAAAGGATCAAAACCCCAGACTCCTCTCACATTCTCAATCCATGGTCTTCCTAACTCTTCCAGAACGTAAGCAGAATTGCTTTGATAGCTTCTGGGTATAGAATCAAATAAACACAATCCATTCAGACCACCAGTTATTTGTTCCTACCTTATCTAGTTGTGACACTTCTGATTGTACAGTTTCTGGTTTTAGGACTTTGAGGTTTTAAATATACAGTATCTGCTTCCATCTACTGGTAATTTCTAGCAATCGCAGGCCACGAATCGATCTAAAACATGCAAGGTCCCACATTTCTTAGATTCCTGGGTAAAGCATGAGTCTGTATTAAGATTCCTAGATAACTTAATTAAAAAAAAATGCTTAACCTGTCACTTGAGGTTCTGAGCTGAAGCAAATAATGTGGTCACAATTAAGAACTGCTGCTGGATTCGGGCTAAATAATCCATCCCAGTATTTAATAGTTCTGAGGCATTAGTTCATTACTGAACTTCTCTAAAACTTAGCTTCCTCTTCTATGAAATATGGTTGTGGATGTTACTATCTCTCCAGTGCTACTGTGAAGATTCAACAAGGCAATGCAAGTAAGTGACTGAAACAATGCCAGGCTCTTCGTGCTAAGCCCTTGATGCACCCTCAGTGATTGTGAAGATAAGAACAATGCAAATCAGGTATTCTCAACTCCATGCCAATTCCAAACTGATTAGACTGGAATGCCCAGGCCCTCTTTCCAAAAATTGTTATTTAATTGGTCCTGAAGTGTGGGGAGAGAGGCAGGTAGCTGGCTAGCAGGGTGTCAAGATATTCTCAAATCTCCCTGGGTGATTCTAACAAAAACTCTGCCATAAATGACCCACGGAATAGCCACGTGTTTATTTGCAGGTCACTGCAGACCTGGTATCAGCCAATCAGTCAACGGCATTTATGGAATGTTTGCTGTGGACAGAGTATAAGTAGGGCATGAGAAAAAGAAAAAAAAAAACAGCATGGTCCCTGCTCCATTTATCACAATCCAGATGGGAGGATGAAATGGCAGAGAGCAGGTGGTATTGTGCACAGCTGTAAGTTATGGTCTGGGAAGAAGAGTCTTAGCTTGTCAGCCTCATGGCCGCATCCTAAGGAAAAGCCCCAGAGCAAAAGGAAAGCAGGGCAGAGATGGTGGGCAAGAAGGTTTGGTTACAGGGTTCATGTATAAAGAGAACTTAGGATTTTTCAGCATCCTTGCCATCTTGCACTGATTTTGGTTAGGTAATTAAAAACCTTTGCTGAGATTCTAGTGGGATTAGCAGTGGTAATAGCTGCAGCCATGTGTTCCAGAGTCCCTGAGGACTGGGTACTTGAAGTAGCTTAACAATAGATCAGCGCATGCCCATTGACCAGAGATGCCGCACTCAACACGCTAAGGGACTTCCTTCCAGTCACACGTGTCCATGTATGGACATATTCTCTTATTATAAAGACATCATGAGAGTCAATAGAAAGTTGGCAAGACTGATATTTTTAAATATCCATGACATATTAAGTTTTAAAGATCAAGTGGCACAGCAATATGAACTATGCAACCAATTTTTAAAAGAAACTAAATACGTGTCTATTCTATCTGTTATATCTATTATAAATATATAATATTCAGGAGGATACTCTTAAATCATGGCTTCCTCTGGGAAGAGATGAAAAACTATTAGAGATCACATAGAAGGTGAAAACAAACTTTCACTTCTACTCTCTGGATTACTCTAGGGAATGTTTCAATTTTTGTAATGAGCATATATGAGTTTTATAATTTGCTTGAAATGTTAGGGAGAGTAATCAGAACCCTAATAAATGAATTGTTATGTTGTCCATGTCTATGTATGTGATTAAGTATGAATATGCAGGTTTGGTTGCCCTATATAGGTATAGTACATGCATGTACATAGTGTGCATACATATATAAAGTATGCATGGTGTGGATGACGACCATGTCAATTGTGGTATGTGCAAACACGTATGTATACATAGTATATACTGACATGGTATAAGTATACAACATAAATAAAATTACTTTTGGCTTATGTGTTACTAAATTCTATGAAGATATAAAATGTTATATCGAAATAGCAGATTTACCTTGGAACCTCCTGAAACACTTCATGTACAAAAGGTACCTGCTGACTTTTTCCCAAAAAGTTGAGATGATCCAATGTTTTACTTTGTCTTTATCATTTTCCACTAAAACAGTATATACACAAACAACTTATGTAACCAGGAACTCTTCACTCAGAGCATATTCTGGTATGAATAGTGTTTGGGGGAAAAAATAATTAATCTGGTATTTTATTTATTAGGCCACACAATAGCCTCTAGGTAGACTTAAGAGGAAATCTCAAAATCTGGACTTTAAACTCTCACACAATACATTTCTACAAAATTGTGGGGTCTGATCTGGCAACAGCTGTTTGCTTTACATTTATAGCTAGCTTATTCTAAATTAAAATTGCATATAGGAAGAAAATTGCTGTGCCTTGGCCAATGCTGCACTAATTTAAATCATATTCAATACAGCATAGTTCCAATGCAACAGGATATTGCAATAATTCTTATTGAATTACATACATTAAATGAGTAAACTTTTAAAAAAAAATGGGTGAACTTTATAGTATGTAAATTATCTCACCAAAGCTGCTAAAAAAAAAAAAAAAAGTTCTTTTTAAGTTCTTCTTTAAAAGGGGGCAATTTATAATCTCTTTACACAAGGAAGGGTGTTTTCCTGACTGATGGCTCCTCTATTTCTAGCAATACCTGGAGGCAACCACCAGATCCCAGGGCTGGGAGGGAACCCAGTCCTAGGGCCCTGCAGGGGAATCCTGGCCCAGGACACTCAACTGTAGGGGAACGGCCTTTCCCAGGCTGCACAAACTCTTTGCTCTTCCTGCAGGAGGATTACAACCAGCTGAGGCCACTCTCCTACCCCAACACGGATGTGTTTTTGATCTGCTTCTCCGTCGTAAATCCTGCCTCTTACCACAACGTCCAGGAGGAATGGGTCCCGGAGTTGAAGGACTGCATGCCTCATGTGCCTTATGTCCTCATAGGGACTCAGGTTAGAGGCGGCGATGGCAGAGATGGTGGGTGGGGCGGGAGGGGCAGGAGGGCAGCACAAAAGGAAAGACCCTTTAGGTGTCTCCTGAGCATCCTCTTTCACCAACAAGAGATAAGAGAGTCTCGGATATATCAATTCGATAGACAGCCATTCCTAAGGTCTGCCTTACTATTAAGCATATGGTCAAAAAAAAAAGGAGCTATTTAATAGGAAACAGGAGGTTTTGATGTGGTCTTTAAAAATTAATCTCTCTCCTTTTTTTTAAGATTTGTTTATTTATTCATGAGAGACACAGAGAGGGAGGCAGAGACATAGGCAGAGGGAGAAGCAGGCTCCCTGCAGTGAGCCTGATGCAGGGTGCCATCCCACATCCCAGGACCCTGGGATCACGCCCTGAGCCAAAGGCAGACGCTAAACCACTGGGCCACCCAGGTGCCCCTCTCTCTCTGCTTTTTATTTTAAATAACAAAGTACTTTTTGAAGCAGACACCCTTCTCCAGCCCTGAGCCAGAGGAATGAGGTGGGGATGTCAATCACACTTACTACCTAATATTTTTCATATCTGAAATCTACAATTGCTTGAAAGTCACAAAATGGGTGTGAATGTCAAAATGACTCCAGCAGTCAGAATGAGCACCTGATAACAGGAGCTCCTTAACACCACTGGAGAAGGAAGACAGAAATGGACTCCTCCGTTCCCATTAAACCTCCTGGTCTTACAGATCTTAGGAGGGAAGTTAAAAACAGATGTATCAGATAAACAAACCTGTGACTGTAAAAGGCTGTGAAGTGTTTTGAAAGCTAATAAAGTTCTATAATTTGAATTTCCAACAGTAAGCCAATTGCACAAATGTGTTCAAGATTGTTTCTACTTTTTTCTAGTTTTGAAAGGATTTTATTCTTTGCTATGTTAAAACTTAAATTACTATCCAAAGACACAGAAATGTAATAATACTGATGGGTTTTATTGTTATCTGTTTCATATGCTCCTATTTTCTATATCTCATTTTATACTCTGATTGACAAAGAGAAGTGTTCAAAAATGATAAAAGAAAAGTACTTCCTAGAAAAGATATGGACAGATAATTAACATATCCAAAACTCAGAGTAGAGTTAATGCTTCTATTCTGAAAGATAATTCTTTAAATGCAGTCTTTTACCTTAATTCCAGATGATAATGTTCGACCATATAGATAAGGCCTACATCCCTGCTGCCAAAATATGTGACAGGACAGAAGCATCTCTGTGCCATTTGAGCCTGCTTTATCATCGGCGGGCACTGCATTGAGCAATCAGAACTAAACAAGAAGGAACCCACAAATTAGGAAAGCTGAGCAATGTGCTTATAAATGGACCTCTAATAGATGAATACATTGGTTTTTCTTTAAAATCCAAGCTCACATTTACACCCATTCATGTATGCATAGGTTCACATACACAGTGAGATTTTAAAGCAACTAAAATATTTAATTAAATTACCAAAAATAATCCAAATGTATATGCCATTTTCAAAGCAGTTCTACCTTTGAAAAGATTAACACTTATTCCTTGAGCAGACCCTTTGGGAGTTCCTCTTGAGGAAGTGCCTTCAGAGCCTGCAGTGACAGTCCTTAGAATATTCCAACAGAAGGCAAATCATTATCCCCGTGAGGGTGAAGACAAAGATGTATTCAGAGCCAGGAAATAGACTATTAAGAAATGAGTAATATAATTTTGGATCAAATGAGGCATTACTGTAAGGTAATAAGACCGATCGATCATCATGCATTTCCTATAAGCGGGATCTAAAAATAAATAGGAAATTTCAAAAACACCTCAGACAACCTCAGGAGTAAGTCCTCAGCTCTCAGGGGACTTGCTTTTGAAGAAGAAAACACATGGAAAGCCTGCTGTTTACACTTACAAAGAAATCACTTTACTTTTTTAGATGTAACATGGACATGTGTATGTGCCTCCTTAAAGAAAAGTAAGCAACTTCATAGATCTTAAGAGGGAGAGGGGAATCTATCATATCACAGTTTAAAATACCTGGTTAGGTCTGAAAAAATATGTGAGTTGGTCACATGTGTATTTTTTTTTTTTTTTGCCAGATTGATCTCCGAGATGACCCCAAAACCTTGGCCCGTTTGCTGTATATGAAAGAGAAACCCCTCACCTACGAGCATGGTGTGAAGCTTGCAAAAGCGGTAGAGTCAGATTTGAATTTAATTTTAAATATATGCTAAGAGAAGAATTTGGTGTATGATTTGGAATGGGTGAGCTCCGTAGGCTTTTGCTTTAAAATAGGTGTTTGAGGGTCTTCTGTCTGCTTCATGCTGTCCCCCCTCTTTCAGTTAGGCTGGAAGGGACCGACCATTTGGTTAGTGTTCTTCCCAGCCACTGTTCTCAGTTTCTTGTTAAGAAAGAATAAAGGAAGGCAGGCAGGCAGGCAGGAAGAAAGGAGAAAGGAAAAAGAAAGGAGAAAGGAGAAAGGAGGAGGGAAGGAAGGAAGGAAGGAAGGAAGGAAGGAAGGAAAAGAAAGAAAGAAGAAAAGAAAGAAAGAAAGAAAGAAAGAAAGAAAGAAAGAAAGAAAGAAAGAAAGAAAGAAAGAAAGAAAGAAAGAAAGAAAGAAAGAAAGAAAGAAAGAAAGAAAGAAAGAAAGAAGAAAGAAAGAAAGAAAAAGAAAAAACTTGGTGAATTTAAACTGCTGAAGCACTTATCATTTGATTTAGCAACCTTTAAATATCCAGTTGCTGTATTTAGTATGAATAAAGTGAGTCATTAGGTATATATTTGTATATCTCACTGCTTATTATCAATGTAATTCATTGAAATGACCCCATAAAAGTCATTTTGTGATTTCCTTGGGAAAAACTTGGATTAGCGTCTGGCAGGGTTATATCTGCTCCCCATATAATGAATGGCCACTTAGGACACTGGATTATGTCACGAACAGTATCTAGAAGAGTAACATAGAGAAGAAGGTAACCAGTTGGAGAATCCAAGTGGCTGCTGACAGAATAATATCAACTAGCTCACAGCTGGAACTGTTTTCACCAACTTTTCTTCATTCTTGAGAGCTTAACGTGAATGGTGATTCTGATGGGGAAATTATGTAGACCAAATCTGTCTCCCGATTACCACCAAGATGTGTGTGCCAAAGCAGACAATAAAATGGGGACAAGTGGAGGAGCTGTTTTATACACGAAGAGGCTTTTAAATCATATTTCCATAATCTGAGTCCACCTCCTCACTGATTTAGTCACAAACCCACAGACCCAGGCCAGAGGTTTTAGAAATTGTTCTTTTTCTAAAGTAACTAAAGCTTCTAGGAGTTTCTGGGGGGCTCAGTCGATTAAGTATCTGAATCTTGGTTTCAGCTCAGGTCATGATCTCATGGTCATGAGATCGAGCCCCAAGTTGCACTCCAAGCTCAGCCTGGAGTCTGCCTGAGAGTCTCTCTCTGCCCCACCCCCCAGCCCTGCCACTTGTGCTCTCTCTCTCTCTCTCAAATAAATAAATAAATAAAATCTTAAAGTGACTAAAGTTTCTAAAGTAACCAACCCTGCAAAATGCATACACTGGGCAGAGGAGTCACCCTTTTAAACCAGTCAAGAAGAATATTACCTACAAATTCATGAACAAAGATGTAAGCATTTCTCTTCTTAAAATGTTCTTATAGGCACCATGACTAAGTGATACACTCAAACCGAAGTGAATTAAATAGAATTATGTTTTTATGGTCGTGATACATGAGAAAGTGTCACAAATACTTGAGACAACACTTCCTACTTCTGTGAATATCATGTCGTAACTACCAGTATGAGCCATTCATTGAGTTCTTAGGATACTAAGCACTCTGCAGGCTCAGCTTCATTTCAGCCTCCAGGTGATCTTCTGAAGCACATAGCGTGTGTCTCATCTTGCAGGTGAGGAAATAGAGTCTTGGGGAGATGAACATGTTGGATTCGTGCAGCAGTTAATCCCCCAAGCAACTCTAATCCAGCTCTGGGGATGCCATGTACCTGACCATGGTCTCCTCCAACCATTTATTTTGCCTCCTGTAAAATGGGTACATGTCTATAGGTTTCTCAACCTCTTCCTCACACATTCAGCTTAACTTTCCTCACTGAGGGACACCTGGGTGGCTCAGTGGTGAGCATCTGCCTTTGGCTCAGGTCGTGATCCTGGGGTCCTGGGATCCAGTCCTGCCTCAGGGTCCCTGCATGGGGCCTGCTTCTCCCTCTGCCTATGTATCTGCCTCTCTCTGTGTGTCTCTCATGAATAAATAAACAAAATCTTTAAAAAAAAAAAAAAAAAACTTCCCTCACTAAGGCGCATAGACAAATAACTCCACCAACAAGTATATGTGATTCCCAGCTATGCATTTTTCACAACGAGGAGGTCCCCCGGGAGAATCAGCATTTTGCAGGAGCTTGGTCTGTGTGCCTCGCTTCTGTCCTAGCGCCACCATCATGTTGTCAGTGTCCTGGCCTAACTTCTCATTTAGGGGGTTGTTTTTCCCTCTGAAAAGAAGTCACTCCAAAGCCTCCCATCTCGTTTCATACTAATTTTAGGAACAATGGCTGAGTTCACATCTTTATTGCCTTTTGCCAGTTTCTCCTAGCAACTGCTCTCAGATACAGAGAGAATCATGTTTAGCTTACGAAATCCAATTTAGAAGAAATCCAAGCAAGAGTTTAACTTGTTTCATCACAATACATGTAATTATAGAGATGCTTTAAGTTTCTCTGCTCCCTGACTTTCCTTTCAAGTAGTTTATAATAACAGCTAGTATCTATGGAGTGTTTGCAATGCGCTAGGCTTTATGCCAAGCACTTCACATGCCTTGTCTTAATTAATCCTCACAGCAACCCCCTGAGGTGTGTGTATTATTATTTCCACTTTCCTAGAGGAAACTGAGGCCCAGAGAGGCTAAGGTCATACTGCTAGAAAGTGGCAGAGCTGGGATATGAAACTGCTTTTCCCACTATGCTCTTCTTCCCTCCTCTATTCTGAAAAGAAACCCTTAGGTTTGGGGCTTCTTTTTTATACACTGAAGCCCCGTATTTTAATGTGCACATTCTCCCCATAGTTTAAAAGCTTTGCACGTTAAAATTTCTCATATCCAATTCCTTTTGCTCAAGACTTTTCAACTTCCAAAGCATTTTTCATCTACCATCTCCTTTTAGCCTCAAAGGGCATTTTATTTTTAAAGGGTATTTTAACATCATGCATATTTACAATTCCTTACACTTGTCAAAAGTCAACCACATTTACATAAATATTTTGTATCAATTGATAATAAATATTCATCATTATCCCTCTACTTGTTTTATTCTCCCTCTTCCTGCCATTATTGCATCTTTTAATCTCCAGCCAGCTTTCCCCATTTGCGCACATTGCTACTGCTATTGGGTGTGCTTGTCAGTAACTCACTGAACACCTAGCATGTGCAGGACACTTTGCTACACTTTAGCTCTAAGAATATAATTCTTTGTGCATTCTCTTTCCCAATACCATTTGATGCAACCTAAACATGATTTTCTAAGTTCCAACTTCCTAAGGTATTTCTTGACAAAACATTTTGCCTTTTGCAGCCTTTGGCCTCTTTTTGCTCTGCTATCTTCTTCAGCCTGTGTCTTTCTTACTGGTTTTCTCATTCTTTGTCTTTGTACCTATTTCCGGCTGGCTTTGTGACAAGCATGCACCAGTGGGTTTAAAGCAGCAAAATTACTGCAGAAATCCTGTAATCTATGTTCAGATACCTTTTTTTTTTTAAGATTTTATATATTTATTTGAGAGAGAGAGAGAGAGCAGGAGGGAGAGGGAGAGAGAATCTGAAGCTGACTCCACACTGAGTGCAGAGCCAGACGTGGGGTTTGATTCTACGATGGCAAGATCATGACCTGAGCCGAAACCAAGAGTCGGACACTTAACTCACTGAGCCACCCAGGCACTCCTCAATATTCAGTCATCTTAATCAACTGGAATCTTTAATACCCACCTACTGACTGCAAAAGTCACCGTTAACCTCCTTGTTTTCTGTGCTGGCCATTTCTTCCTTCTCTCATGTTCACTGAAAATTGATTGGTCACTTCACTGCTGGGGTCTGGGTTGCAAGAATGAAGCACCTTCCTTCAAGAGGTCCATGGCCCCTTCCCTCATGCCCCCTGCATGAATACTTAGTACTGAGGTAGCAGAGAGGGGTAGTGATGGACACATTCACGGAAGGAGGATTCAGAGACAATTTCTCAGAGCCAGTGACATCTGAGCCAGGTTTGAAGGATAAGGACGAGTTTGTCAGGTGGACAAACTAGGAGACTAGGAAGGAAAAAAATCCAAATAGAGAGACAAGTGCATGTAAAGGCATCCTTTAAAGCATAGAGAGTGCATTGGCAAGCGATGAGCCAGATTTCACTCACAAATGCTTTCATCAGTCCACATGTGTATTTTTAATGTGATTTAGTGGCCGACATTGAACAATGGAAACTTTCCATGAAGATACACACTTCTGGCTTCTAAAAATAAAAAATCTGAAGGTCTGGCAACACTAGGCCAGGACTTCCTCATCAACTGCAACCTTTAAACAGTCTTTTTATATATATATATTTTTTAAAAGATTTTATTTATTTATGAGAGAGAGAGAGAGAGAGGCAGAGACACAGGCAGAGGAAGAAGCAGGCTCCATGCCGGGAGCCCGACTTGGGACTCGATCCTGGGACTCCAGGATTGCACCCTGGGCCAAAGGCAGGTGCTAAACCGCTGAGCCACCCAGAGATCCCCTTTAAACAGTCTTTTAAACAAGGAACATACTCTTCAATTTGTCACAATCCCCACCACTCCATATTACCAATGCTCAAGCAGGGCACTCACATTATCTACCCATCCCTGAGCTGGCAATCTCTGCTTTATAGCCTTACCAAAAAATCAACTGCAAATCTATCCAGCCTAGACAGATTTTTCCTCTTTGAGCAATTTGTTATGATGAAATTTATCTCACAAGCTGTTGGGTTCTTTTTCCTTTTCTTGGCTTTCAAGTTGCCTATACCTTTCCTAATTCTTAAAAGAGGGTTCTTCTCAGTTATTAGCTGATTGTTTAGATGCCAGCTTAGTCTGTTCATTCCACTAATATTTTCTCTTTTCTCCACTTATAGGAAATGCCTTACTCTTTCTTTTCGTCCTCTCTCAACACCCTCACTACATCCAAAACAACATCTCAATTATTTCATTAGTTCTTTTCCTTCGGCCACATTTTTTTTTTTCATTTGGTAGAAGGCACCCTCACAGAGTGGTTAAGACTCTGGCTTAGGGGACAGACAAATTCAGACCTCCGATACTGTTTTAGCTGTGTGCCCTTCCGGAGGTAACTTGTTCTCTCTGGCATCAGTTTTTTGAGCTGCAGATGAGGGTAATGACAGACTCACCTTGCAAAGTTCTTACTACCAGTAAGTGAACCAATGAAACATGAGGTCCAGCTCAGCAAATAGTTGCAATTCATGTGCCTCTCAGATGCATCTATGGCTGGGGAGACCTCTTTGCCTTTATTGCTTCCAGTTACACTCTATTTTATTCTATAACCTGTCCTACCTCCACAAGGACAACCTGGAAGAAGGGGTAGTTTTCCTTCACTCAGTTGGTCACTGTGGGTTTTGTTTGTTTAATTTCTTCTTGTCAGATTCTTGTATGTTCTGCACATGCCTGATAAATTTCCCAGCTTTGGGATGATAAATTTCAGCTCTTACAAAACTATGAGAAACATGTTCTCTCAGTTTGTATTCCTCAATCTCTGGGTTTTTTTTTTTTTCTGGAAAAGAAATCATCTTGACAAAGTATGTCACAGATTGCTAACATGCATATCTAAACAAGGATCCACAAATCCTGAGCTCTTACAGATTGTTCTAAATATTTGACTATGTAGGTCACTTTGCTCCAAGAGGCAGAGGAAGCTGTAAGGAAAGTCATGTTTCCTTGAGACTGTTTTCCATCTCACCCTGTGGAGGTCATAAATGAGGTGGCTTATTTTCAGTCATGTCTATCACACGGCTGTGCCTTTTCCCTGAACCAGGGTGAAGTCTTCTCTCTGACCTTCAGAGCACCTGATACACAGTTAACAAAATACTCGCCTCATACTTGGATTCTGTTTCTCACACAAATTTCCCAAATCACACCCAAAATCTGTGTGCTACTTTTCCTAGAATCATCAGTCCAAAACAATGTTACATTAATACAGTTACACAATAATCCCCCGATCCACAGTTTCATTATCTTCAGAAATACCTGAATTGAGACAGACACATTTGGGCTCCTTCTCCACCTTCAAAAGGCAAACCCTACCATGCTGTTAGCAGCACTCTGGAGTGAGGACGACACAGCGCCTCTGCCCACCATACAGGATCAGCTGGCCCAGAGCCCCACATGTGAACTGAGCCCAGCTCTCCTGTAATTTCCGAATTAAGTGAGGCTTGCCATCTTAGTGGGGAGGCACTCCAGATAGAATGGCCCCACCGCACTCTCTGGGTATGTTTTCAGGATGACAGAGAAGAGGTAGCACATGACAAGCGATCATTCAGCTGACTCTTCACTACAGTGGTGTGCATTTCACATGTGCATAGCAAGCGTTGGCTACAATCCCAAAATGTAATAGATGACATTTCATGACATTATTAGGAAAATGTTCTCTATTTTTTATCCCTCTTTTGCATCCAACTGTTTTTAATGATTTTAAAAAGCCTTTTTCTTGGGGGGGGGGGCAGTATTTCAGAGGTAGAATGTAACGATTCATCAGTTACATATGAAAAAGCTACATTTTAATCCAAAGGCCAAACCATGATTAAAATGAAACCATAAGGGCAGCCCAGGTGGCTCAGCAGTTTAGCTCCACCTTCAGCCCAGGGCCTAATCCTGGAGACCCAGGATCGAGTCCTGTGTCGGGTTCCCTGCATGGAGCCTGCTTCTTCCTCTGCCTGTGTCTCTGCCTCTCTCTCTTTCTCTGTGTCTCTCATGAATAAATAAATAAATAATATTTAAAAAATAAAATAAAATAAAACCATAAAATAGACTTTTAATATCCAACATCTTTTCTGTGGGTATTTTCCTTTAACTCATACAGTATCTATTCCTTTTAGGGGGGAAGTGCATAGTATGTGGACCCAATCAGAAAAACTTTATTTCATGCTTAATTTTTGACCAGCTCCTTGCAGAGTTGAGTGGTAAGTGTTACCACCATAGAACAGAGAAAACACACACCAAGTGAGACCCAGATTCTGGTCTAGTTCTTCCACTTTCTGGGTGGGAGCCCTTAAACAACTTATTTCATCTTCTGGGGCAGCTCCCACTATATCCTAAGCAAAACTACAAATTCCTACAGTCCACTCATTGCAAACTGGCTGGTCATTGCCACAGAAATCACACATTAGTGTCTTGGTTGGCTCACAGAATATTTTTTAAATTGGTAATTATTTTTTTAAAAGAGTTTATTTATTTATTCATGAGAGACACAGAGAGGCAGAGACATAGGCAGAGAGAGAAGCAGGCTCCCTGCGGGAAGCCTGATGCAGGACTTGATTCCAGGACCCTGGGATCACGACCTGAGTGGAAGGCAGATGCTCAACCACTGAGCCACCAAGATGTCCCTAAAAATCCAATAGACCAACTCTACAAGGATGGGCAACAGTGAACCATGGCAACAATTGTCCAAAGCTGAGTAAGACTGCCAACTCTAGAGGGGGTGTGTGTTTCAGGCCACCACATTTTCCACCTGTCCCTACTGTCTGGCACCCACTCTGCTTTCCTCATGAACATAAGCTACTGCAATAGGCATGTGATTTTGCTACCCTGCTTTACTCACATATCTGCTGTGGCTTCCAAGGGCTCACCATCCAACTACCCTCCTGCGAATCTTCTTTAATTCTTCAGTTATTCATATAATGTGAAGCATATAATAAAAAGCATTTCTCCAGATGTTCTTCACATTAAAAAGCCTACATCATGTCATTAGCTCATACCAAGCTTATGAGCAATTAAGACCCTGAGTCTCCTTCACACGAACAATCTCATGAATTTGACTGCCAAACATGGTCTGCTCTGCCTGCCTTGCTATCTGTTAAATGAGAAGCTATAGTTCTGAACTGAATTCCTATATTTCTCAAAAAGATTTTTGTGATTATCAAATATACCATAGCATGAAATTTTCAAAAGCTTTGAAAGAAAATCCTAAGCAAGAACAAAATATTTTTATCGTTTAAGTACACATAGAATGTATACTTAACAAGGAGGGTGTCCCCTCAGTAAATGTATTTTATGATTTTTATTTTACATGTTTTGGGTTTTTCAACTCCTTAGAAACATGCCTTTTAAAGTATGTTAAAACCAAATAATAATGTCAACTGGATATTACCTTGCTGAGAGATACTTCATCAGAAGTGCACTGTAGTGAAGAATGACCTATCAAACCTTATCACCCGCTCCCTTTCTATATGCTTTCCCACCAAGTTGACACTTTGCCTTCCCGCATACAGAAGGAGATACATTTCACTTGTACCAGATTTATACATTCCGCATTCTGCATTGCATATGAAAGGTTGCTAAAAACAACATCATGTAGCCCTGTTGTTCGCAAACTATATTTAAACAACATCGCCGCTTTTGAATCCTCACGCAGTTTTTACATTTGTTATATTCTTACATTAAGAATGAGTGGCTGCGGATCACTTTCAGAATTTACTGCTTAAGCAAAAGCAATCCACAAGCATTTATTGCTAATATCAGGAAGTAAAACATAAAAGTTAAGATAGCAGATGCAAATGAAAATGCAAAAGAAACCACAACAACAGTCCAAACCAAGCAGGGGCTGTTTGTGGCACAGGCCGCAGTAGCACTTGGCTGGGCAGGACACTGAACCCTGCTCTGCTTTTCTTTTTTCTTTCCCTCTCATGCCTTTCTCTCTCCATATATATATATATATATATATATATATATATATATATATATATAAATTTATTTTTATTGGTGTTTAATTTGCCAGCATACAGAATAACACCCAGTGCTCATCCCGTCAAGTGCCCCCCTCAGTGCCCGTCACCCATTCACCCCCACCCCCCGCCCTCCTCCCCTTCCACCACCCCTAGTTCTTTTCCCAGAGTTAGGAGTCTCATGTTCTGTCTCCCTTTCTGATATCTCCCACTTATTTTTTTCTCCTTTCCCCTTTATTCCCTGTCACTATTTTCTATATTCCCCAAATGAATGAGACCATATAATGTTTGTCCTTCTCCGATTGACTTATGTCACTCTCTCTCCTTTTTTGTGTGTGTGTTGAAGATCGGAGCACAGTGCTACTTGGAATGCTCGGCCCTAACTCAGAAAGGTCTCAAAGCGGTTTTTGATGAAGCGATCCTCACCATTTTCCACCCCAAGAAAAAGAAGAAGTGCTGTTCTGAGTGTCACGGCTGCTGTTCGATTATCTGAGGCTGCGGGGCCGGGCCTGCGCCCCACCCGACGGCGAGGGCGGGGTGGCAGCCGCGCTGAGACCGAGCTCAAGCCACGCAGGAGGCCAGGCCCGGGGAGGAAGCCCCTTGCCCGGGGCGGGGGGGCGGGAGCCCGCCGGCCCCGCCCGCCGCCCGCCAGCTGCGCCCCTCCAGCCCGCGGCCCCCGCTCCGCAGCCCCCAGCCACGGCGGGACCAGCTGCGCTCGCGTCTCCCCTCCAAGAACGTGAAGCTCATCGAAAATCATCACCCAGCACCCCCAAGGGGAACTTGGTTCCCGAAGTGGTGGCCTTACCCGGTGTCTCCTACAAAAACGCAGGAATTACTATCCTAACCTTTTTCTCTGCATCTGTGGTTCTACCTACGTGTCTTGCATTCATTTGCATTATTTTAAGAAATGTACTAATGTACCAATTTACTCAGGCCTTGCAAGTCCCAATTAGCCTAAAGACAAAGTATTTTATATTCGTTTCCATTTTCAGCGTGTTTCTGCCAAAGCTACAGAACCAACACGTACCTCTGAATGCCTGACTGTAAGAAGAAAACGAGAAAATGCTAAACCTTTTGGAAATTTTACGCAGCCAGGATTTGTGAACCTGGTTGAAAGAAGAACACGAGCACCACCTGAATCGTTGCCGGGCCACAATTTTGCCAAAGATTCACCCCGGAAACGTTATCACTGATGCGGAGCCTTATTTTTTTCCATATTTATACTGTCATGGGAAATTACAAATGAACTGTTTTTAAGAAAGTATCATTTCTGCTTTTTAATCGAACTCCCTGGGGGAGAATCTGGCCCACCTAGCTTTTAAAATATTCTTTATTCTGCAAAGTGAACTTTCCCGCTCCCTTCCTTCCCCAACACATGCTCTTTCCCCCTGGATTTCAGTTTCTCCCTTGCCCAATAATAACCTGGGGCATGAAAAGGGAAATGTTTTAAAAGTCCCCAAAGGTTAAGCAAAGTGCTTCAATTTATCCACTTCAACCTGAAGCACTTGGCAGCTTGCCCCATGTACACCCCCAGATCTATTTAGATGACATTTTCCAAGTACAGCTGGTGCTAATACATTGCCTCTCCCTATCTCCTACACTCATTGTCCCAGATGTGTATTTAGGGGATGGATCTGTGGGTACCAAGCCTTGAATCTGTTCATCCCCTGCTTCCAAAATGATGTGCTCTGTAGAACAGGAACCTCGGTCTTGGGAAGTAAAAGCTCCCAGTAAGGAATTATGTGCCCTTTCTGTATACCTCTGCCAAACATCCAGGGATTCTTGTATCACAGAATGAATTATTTCCCAGCTTTTAATTAGAGACTACAAAGTCTCCTAATTAGTCTTATTTGCTTGCAATTATCCTGGAAACACCCAGGTAGGCACTTTACTTTTTATTTCAATTGCAGAAGCAAAGTGCCTCTTTGCAGCATCAAATTACACTGATTTCAGCATACGAATTCCAGATTCACACTCCTTCTGTTGGAAAAATCCAGTCTTTCTAGTCCCTTCTGCTCCTGGAGGAAGCACATAAAAAAGAAACATATGATGTGGGTCTTTTCTGGTGAGACCTTCCGTGACATCCCCTCAGTTGTTTGGGTTTTGTTTGTTTCGAATTTCTGAAATGTGTTTTCCCTTCTTCTGCATTGCAAGTCCTATTTCCCTGCTTTCCCATCTAGTTGCTAAACATTTTCTTAAACATGCACATACACGCTCACGCACACACACACACACACAGACACACAAACCCCACACACTAAAAGAAAACGGGAGTTTTGTAAGTCAAAGCTTGACATTTAGAGAAAACTAGGACTTTCTTCCTCTGTAAATGGAAATCAACTGTGCATAAACTATAACTCCGCAGAGGTTATGAATTTATTCTTTACAAACAATAATGAGCATTTAGCCCTGTAATAAATGAAGTGCTGTTAGCCAGTTTTGTTGCGTTATTGCATAGTTACATCTTACTAAAGGCCCACTCCTCGCTTCTCATTGATGTGGATAAAATATTCAGTGTTCTATGTTTGCTCCACCAAGGAGAATTTTCCAGATGTGTGCTCCAATAGGCAAATGGTTCTACAGGCCATCACCTCCCTACTGGACCACAGGGATTAACTTGTTCACAGTGAGAAGATCACTCCCTCACCTAGAACGAGAACCTGGAGAGAGACTGTTAGTGTCTAAATGGAGAGGTTCCCAAAGGTCTTAGGAGCTCATTATTAAATAAAATAAGAACAAACGACCTAAATTACTTAGTATCATTCCACCAAGTTAACCATGTATCCTCTGTTTCATGACAAGAGGCAGTTCAATTCACTAAAAAGTGTTTCCTGCCATAAGATTAAACAAACTATATTCGGAAGTCAAAGAGAAGAAGAGATCTGAAAGAAGGATCTGAAGAAGGATCCTTGATCCTTGACCATCTTCCAAAGTGAAGAGGGGACAGTCAATCTCCATCGGAGGGTAGAGTCTAAGCTTTTCAGACCTAGAAGAGGCCCCAGAAAATATAGTCCAACTCCCTCATTCTACAAATGAGGAAACTCAAGTCCAGATGGGTCCAAAGAACTGTGTTGTGGCAGAGCTGGGATAGACCTCAGCTATTCTGCTTCCCATCCACTGCCCTTAACTCTGCATTGTAATCTATTCGTTATCACAGACACTAAGTTGTAGTTTTGTAGGTATATTACTGGAGTTGTATTTGTTTATCCTACAGCTCTTAGCCCCATTTCAAATATATACTTAGACCACTATAAATTAGATAATCCATCACACTAGTAATAACCTAAAGACAAGAATTTGATCTGTAGTATGCTTTGAACTGACAATATGCAATATACTCTAATCCCAATCTAATTGTACAGTATACAGCAATGTAATCAATCTAATGGCTTAATCAAGTAGCTAGTTTGACAGATTTTTTTTTTGATCAAATGGTTGGTTATATGGTAGAATTAATGGACTCCCTAGCTATTTTGGAAACACAAAAGACTACCACAAGAGTCAAAACCATGTCAGGGTAAGTAATCTGGGCTGATTTCTGCCAAGAAAAATTATACTCAAAAAATAATTACTGGGGATCCCTGGGTGGCTCAGCAGTTTGGCGCCTGCCTTCACCCCAGGGCGTGATCCTGGAGTCCCGGGATCGAGTCCCACATCGGGCTCCTTGCATGGAGCCTGCCTCTCCCTCTGCCTGTCTCTCTCTCTCTCTCTCTCTCTCTGTCTCTCATGAATAAATAAGTAAATCTTTAAAAAATAATAATAATAATTACCAAATGCAGTAACTACAACAAGCCTAAACCGGGAAGCAGTAAACTGGGAAATGAAAAAAATAAGTCATACACATATGACAGGAAGTTTTCATCCTGAAACTCCAATAACAAAATGTCTGATCATGATAAGCAAAATACTATTTTGAAGATTTCTGGTCCTTTAAAGAAGTGCCAGATGCAGTAGATGTAACCATCCATACACAATCTTCATAGAACCATCAATGAGGAAATAATATTTAAATGGTAGTAAAGGAGCAATCACAACTATACTCACAATTTTAGGAGAAATTAAAGAAAGTTAAATCCCAAACCTGAGGCCAACGAAAATGTACACTGTGTAGAGTATAGGTTCCTGTTACTAGTTAATAACCTCATAAAGTAGAGTCCTCAAAAAGAAATATTTGACCTGAGGTAAGCCTTTAAAGATGGAGCATTGCATTCACAAAGGCAAATTCAAGCATGAGACCAAAGTGATGGAAGATTAGAAATTGACGTTTTGCTTTAAAGGAATGTTTGGCACCATGCTGAGATGATTATCTAACCCTTTACGTCTTCAGTTCCTATGTTTAAATGCCAGGATGCTGGGATCCCTGGGTGGCGCAGCGGTTTGGCGCCTGCCTTTGGCCCAGGGCGCGATCCTGGAGACCCGGGATCGAATCCCACGTCGGTCTCCCGGTGCATGGAGCCTGCTTCTCCCTCTGCCTGTGTCTCTGCCTCTCTCTCTCTCTCTCTCTGTGTGTGACTATCATAAATAAATAAAAAATTTTTTTAAAAAAATAAATAAATAAATGCCAGAATGCAAAATGTGCTTTCTCTCTCAAAAGTGAGAGCTACAGGTCACCAGCTACTCTCTTACAAGTCATTGAGTAGGCTGCCCAAGTACAAATAAGGAAACTCAACAGAATATTTTCATTTCAGGAACCATTAGGAACAGAAAGGGAAAAAGAAGACTGGGGAATTCAAGTTTTTTACAAAGGAAGTTAGGTACTTTAAAAAGAAAACGTTTAGAGAATGGAGAGAAAACTAAAACAAAACACAAGGCAAAGCACACACACCTGACAATTCTCCCAAGCAGTGGCTAAGTACTGCCTGGCCTCCAGAGCTCTGGGGAAGAAGGGAGGACTGTTCGTGTGAGGAGCGTTCCAGAGTCAGCCAAGAGGCTTAATCATATGCTAATTCTAGATAACTCCACCTCACCATTCCTTAAAAATGATGAAATTCCAGACAATGCTCTTTGGGTGTTCAGTAGCAATGTGGGTGGGTCATCATGCTCGCACCTTCTCTGCTAATACAGAGCAGATGGTCAGGGGAAATTTACCAAGGAATATGGGCGCATCAATTATCTTGAAAGTCTTTTAAGCACTAGCATGACTTAAAACCTGAAAAGGATGACTTTGTGATATCTGGAAAGACAGTTACTTGTATGAGAGATATTTATTCATCTTCAGTGGAATATCACTAAACAGTGGCCTTTAGCATGCACAACAATACCAGAATGCAAAAACATGAGCTAAAGCAACAATTCGTGGTGCTTCCATGGTCAACAAAGCCCAGAAGGGAGATGAAAGCGCCAAGCTCTACACAGAGGCGCTTGGGACATCAGAGGCTGGGCGGCGCTCATTGGAGATCTCTGTGGATTAGGGAAGGAATGAGTCAAGGAGGGTTTGGCTCTTCTGTGAATTCAGGGATGCAAGTTCAACAACAGTTCTTGGCTTTTAACTTCCATGGCAGGAAATTAGAATAAAAGCTGCATGATTAGTCTTGGTCACAATCTATTTTTTTTCTCCTTAGGGAATATTATGCCAAATCCAGAGTCCTTTTGTGCATGTGTGCTTTAAACATGTCCCACCCTGGTGATTCCACTGTGCCCTGAGTTCTGCAGTGACTCAGAAGCTTCACGCTGCTATAGCCAGTGTGATTTTGTTGCATTTTTAGCCATGCCCTCTAAGCCTATCAGTATATGCAGTTATCATTGACGAACAGGGTCTGATCAGTGTTTTAGGGGATATGATATTGGGGGCAAGATGAGGAGAGGGTCCCCAAAGCCCAGACTGAGTCTCACCTACAAGCCATAATATTAGCTCACGGAGCTTCTCCGTAACCCTGCACATGCCAGTTTTTTTAGTTTATATTAATTCTTTGCAGGAAAAAATAGTAATATTTTCATGGCAGACAGGTATGTTTGGGGCAGCTTTGTAAATCCACACCTAAAATTACCACCACCTGCCATTTTTTAAAACCATTTTTCTTAAAGCGATCGAATCTTGTTCTCCTAGAGGAGCCATGGGTGAGAAGGTTAATGAATTCTACATTCTTCTCATCACCTGGCTTAAATTGTTTTTTCCCCTGAATAAACAGTAATTACTGTATAAGTACATCTCAGCAGAATTTTATCCCAACTGAAACAGTCCATGTTCTCCCCCATGTGATCGCTACGGGGGAAATGATAGACAAGGGAAGGATAGACTTTGGCTTTCTTACCACCTGCTTCTTACATAATGGCTATTCTATGTACACTTTGTAATTAGTGGAATATTAGCTCAGGTTCTCTTTAACCTTGGAGTTTGCTTTATGCCACGTTCTGACTTTAAAGTCGTTGTATAGTCTTTTTTCCTACTCTCATTTCTGAGTTACCTGAGGGTGTCTTCATCAGCCACTTGAGAACCCTGCCTTCCCCAGGCCTCTGTTAGAATGGGAAATTGTCCAGCCCTTTGCTACTCCAAGTGTATTCTGGGGACAAATAGCCAGCATTACTGCGGAGCTAGTTAGCACTACAGAAACTCAGGGCCAGTCCAGACCCACTGAATCCAAATCTCCATTTTAAATATGCATTTAATAAGACCCCCAGGTAAAAAAAATAAAAATAAATAAATAAAAGACCCCCAGGTGATCCACACATTGAAATTTGAGAGGTACTGATCGACGAGAGGACCAAGCTTACCATCAGTTTTTATATCCAAACATGTAGCTGCCTGATGAAGAAACCATCAGCTTTGTTTATTCCTCTGATGCTACCCTTTGGGTATTTCTTAGGCTAATATTTGACTTGTTCACGTTTATTGGATGAATGAAAAAGCTTTCAGAAGCCTGTCATGTGCTGCCCAGCTGCAGTAAAGCAATAAGCGTATTTTGGAATTAAAAGCAGAAAAAGCAGCATCTGGTTTGAAAGATCGGCTAAATCTGAAGTACTTCTGTTCTTAAAGGGTTTTTTTGCTGTTTATATAAGGAAGAGGGAAAAAATGCCCTCCAAAACTATTTTCCATGCAGAAACAAGAAAGATTCATATCACGGGAAGTTATAAACTTATAAAATGAAGATAAAACAAATTTCTGAGGCATAAAACTTTTGATGAAGCTTCTGTCTGTATTGCTTAAGATGCGCTGTAGATGCCAAAATAAGAATTGACTACAAACATGTCCTCTAAATGGGGCATTCCACAGATTTGTATGTGGATTGTTCCAAGCACAGATCAGAGTTGTATTCACTTATTCAATGTATTTTTACTAAACATCACCAGGAGCCATACTTGGTTTTCCCCACACACCCACACCGAGCCTCACATACAAGAGTTCTTTAAAAATTGCATGCACATGCACACGCAAACACATGCACACTGAAGGGTATCATCTCATTCAAATCCATTGTTGCTGAAGTCCTGAAGC